TCTGATTTTACTTCCATTCTTGTCAAGTTTAACAATAAATTTAATGTTTGTTCATTGCTCTAATTCAAATTCTGACATTCTTGAAACAGCACACAAAAACATGCAACGATAATGAAAGTCACTCAGTAAGACAGCGCCACACATCAATATGCACATAACATAAAAAATAAGTCATAATATATGGCAAAGAGTTATAAAACTCTTAGGTCTGTTCTGAGATCTTAAAAAGAAGAAACAAAAATATAGCAGAATGTAAGTATTCTATTTTTCAACATAGAGTACAATCCTGGCACTATCACAAGATAAAACAATGTATAATCAATATATCTGTTTATTGCCTTGGTTTAAACAATAATAAAAATTGGGATGATCTAAATTCAACTCTCAATGAAAGTCAGAAAAAAATAACTTTAAATTTAAGAAGTCATATGCAGAATTGTGCTTAATCCCAATGAAGTTGTGGAAATAAATGTTTATAACTAATTACACATCCATTGTGATCACTTGCCTTGTTTAGATAAATAAAAAATGAATAGGGCAGCTCCCTTGTTGAGTAAAAGAAAGAGAATTTGAGGTGGTATTACAGATTGCTGATTACAACAATTTTAGGTGAAAATCCCTATTTCAGGACTTAACTAAATTATGTTGCAGCCTAAATGTATAATCAGTGCTTCAGAATGTAATAGTAAAAGGCATAGTTGGGTAAACTCAAGTGTATGATTTTATATACTATATGGAAAGGCTACCTGTATCAGGCAGTGTTCAATCAAGACACAGAAACCACTCCGGCAATTGCATAAGGTGAAGTTAATATAATCCTAGCACTTTGGGGGGGCGGAGGCAAGAGGATTGCCTGAGCTCAGGGGTTTGAAATCAGCCTGAGCAACATGGCGAGACCTAGTCTCTACAATAAATCACAAAATTAGCTGAGTGTGGTGGCACATGCCTGTGGTTCCAGCTACTTGGAAGGCTGAGGTGGAAGGATCACCTGAGCCCAGCAGGTGGAGGCTGTGGTGATCATGAGCATGTCATTGCACTCCAGCCTGGGCAACAGAGTAAGACTCCAACTTAAAATGAAAAAGAAAAAAGAATGATCAATACAAGAAAGTTACCTACTCAAAGAGTTAAAGAAGGAGGAATTCAGTGGAAGGAAGTAGCAACTGCAGAATGTAGCTACTGTCCATAGAGCTGAGGGAAAGGACAAGACAGGTACTTACACATTTACAAGAACCCCACATGCACACTCACACATACACCACCACCATGCCTAAGACAAAGACATCTCTTGGAGAGGTTGTGGCTACTACCAGAGTCTGTTGGTGAAAGAGGGAATGCCTGAGTATACACGCCCCAGGTGGTGTGGGTTGTAGCTAGTTTTATGGTGTGGTCCTCTGGAGAGCAGAGAAGTCTTACCAGCGAGTGTTGACTACAGGTGAGACAGGAGGCAACAGTACCAGTTTCCTTAGGTACCAATCCACTAAGTACCAGACAGAAAATGGCACTCTGGAAAATGGAAGCTAAGTCTGCAGTACGTTTTCTGGCTTCACATTGTCCCTCCAGCACCTTAAATTGGCAAAGCCCGAGCTGGGCTCGGTGGCTCAGCCTGTAATCCCGCGCCTTTGGGAGGCTGAGATGAGTGGATTGGCTGAGCCCGCGGGTTTGAGACCCGCCTGGGCAGGCGAGACCTCATCTCTACAATAAATCAAAAAAATCAGCCAGGCGTGGTAGCGCACGCCTGTAGTCCCAGCTACTTGGAAGGCTGAGGCGGAAAGTTCGCCGGAGCCCAGCAGGTCGAGGCTGCGGTGGCCGGGAGCGGCCACTGCACTCCAGTCTGGGCCACAGAGTAAGACTCCAACTCAAAAAAAAAAAAAAAAAAAAAAAAAAAAAAAAAAAAATTGGCAAAGCCTAAACATCAAGACAACTGGCAACGAGAAATGTCTACAATGTGCTACTCAGGAAAAACCAAAAAAGGTAAAAATTTTGGAAAGAGAAGCAATATAACAATAATTGGCATGTTGGCATCCTGGGCTGTGGAAATGGACACACATAAAAACTGTCTAACATCACGTGTTCATGCTTACCATCACAAATCCTGACTTCTTAGTTCCTAGTTCTACATTTGGTTACCTATTATATAATTCTGACTTAGAGCTGTTCACCAAGAAATCATTTTGCTGGCATTATGTAGTAATTTAACTTTTTATAAAAGTACATATAGATAAAAGTGTATAAATTCCAAGTGTATAGCTAACTCAATTAGTTTTTGCAAATATATATACTCATGTAAACACCACTCAAGATAGATTATTTCCAGGTTTCCCTGGAAACCTCAGTCTTGCTACTTTTGAGCAGTAATTATTCACTTTTCAAGTGTTTCTTTAAAAATCTTTATCTATTTTCTTACTTGTTTAGTATAACTAAGCAAGGAAGCACAAAGAAAAATAATGCACCATTTTATAATGGAGAAAAAAAACACAAGAAGCTACTTTAAGACCTGTTTAATTTTATCATTCCATATATCTTTCTAAAGTTATCAAAGTTCTCTATAGAAATTATTATGCTCCCCTTATTTTTATGTAAGTTGACAATAATTAGCAATTTTTTTCTAATGAAATGAAATATAAAGAACATATTCAATTTCAACTATCCCTCTGTGTTTTTGTGTAGTGATAGGAATGGAATTCAAATTTGTGAGAGTAAACTGTTTTCCACTAATACCAAACAGTCCTCTAAATGTGAGAAAATGTTACATGTATGCAATTCAAACAAATGACAGCAGCAAAAACAACAACAAGAAATTTAGCAATGATTTGGGTTACTATAAAAATAATTTAAATACATGTTAGGATAAAATTTCAAATATATAACATATTGTTTCTTTAAAACTCAAAGCATTTAATATATGAACAAATGTGAAATATGTTTTTGTGATAGCAGTTTGGAGTACTGAAAGGAAAATAATGCACTAAGTACAAAAAGCAAGGAGTTTTGCTTACTATATTTTGGGATGACGTACAGATTTTAGAATTATTGACGCTTTCCAGTTGAATAAGTCTAACCAGTTATTCAGTTTGGGCTCAGTAATCCAAGAGGCTCAAGAAATTTGATCTTGTAAGCTTCTTTTTTTCTAAGTCCTGAGTATTTTTTTGATTTTTAAATACCAATTTTAATATTTGACACAATTATTTACATGTAAAATTTAAAAATTAACTATCATATTGAAGGTTGACACACTTAACTACAATAATTTTTCCTACTAGCTTTCCGCTACAAGTTGAAAATCTTTGAACTTATGATTATGCTACATAGCCTGAAGGTTGTGAGTGTTTTTCCAGAAGGTTTTCAACTTTTTTTATGCCTGACTCCTTTACTGGATTCAGTTCAAAATTTTCTAATGGGAAGCATACTTTAAATAGCCTTGATTCCACATTTTTGAGTTATTTTATTTTATTGCTCTTTGCTGAGAGCACTTACAATCAACATATTTTTCAGAGTTTTATATTTGGTAATGTATTGTTGGTTCTTTCTTTCCTGTTGTAATGGGCTTTCAAAGATTTAAGCAAATTTGCAGACTTCCCAAACAAACACATCTGTACTGGACAGTGTGATATTAGAAGGTTCCTGAAATAAGTAACACAGTACAATGCAAATGCTTTCTGCAGTACCCCTTTGTTGCATAAAAAATGAGAAAGGTTGCCAATGACTTTATTTTAGGGAGAAAACTACTACATAGAAATAAAATATGAATGTTTTACTACACAGACTGTATTTTATTCTTAATCATGTTTGACTTGAGTGTATCCTCTGGCATTTTTATACTAGAAATGATGTCAGAAGCTGAAGCTGACCTTATCTTCAAAGACCAAGGTTATCACACACAAAATATATAGCTTATATATTCACTTCAAATTGTTTTAATAAATTAAGTCTTCTTATAGCTTTATTAAATGCATGTGTTGAAGGTGTTTAACATGATCAATGCTATATTTAAAATTTAACAGCCTGAAGCTTAACGATTGTCCAGGCTACTCCTGTTTCCTTCATCCTTGCTTGGGAAGGATATTTGGTCACATGCACTCCTACACACATAGCTCAGTTATTCATCCTGATCTCAGGTCTCTTCTTTCCATTTGCCATCTATTTTTTTATTATTATTCCAGGTTTCTTCCTCTTCCTTCCTTCCTCTCCACCCACTCAACCAACCACCCACTGAAATCCTGAGTTCTTGTTCTTCAGTAGCTTTTCAAAATTAGTACTTCCCCCAACTTCCCTTCAGAAACACTTTGGCATGTCTTATTTCTCCTCAGAGATCACTTGCTCGCCTTAGCTCTACTAACATTCTTCAACCCCTACTTATCCCTACCGAACTTCAGACCTAGACACATCCCCGACTCTTCCATTTCCATTTATAACAAAACATTTCTTTGGAAGTTCATCCAAGCATTCCAAAAAGCAAATTCAGTGAGTCAGTGCCTTAAGATTAGATGATACATCTTGCACAACTATGGTAACACTGAAGTATATGTGGTCAGTACCTAGCCAATTGCATTTTCATTTGTAATGTGGAAGTACGGTCAACAAATTGAATCAACTGTATTATGACAGACTGTGTTACCCAGAATCCCACGCCGTTACAGAAGTCATCTGACTGTGAGGTGAAGTTTGATATTTTACGTGTATGTAGACTCTACCAAGCACATTATAATTAAAACAATGTAAGGCAATACATTAAAAAGCAATGCTGCAGCCATCACTTTCTAAACTTTTTAAAATTAGAAATAATCAGTGAGAAAAATGTGTCTCCAATAATTTACATCTGTTTTGAAAAAATTATCTCCACTGAAATTTCAAAGTGAACTTTATTAATCTTAATATTATATAAAATATGCTATTTTATAATTTATTTATCTATCTATTCAATAAATATTTACTGAATATCTGTTAGGTACCAGACACAGTTCAACATAAACTAACCAAAAAAATTTTCATTTGCAACTTACCATGGGCCATGCGATGGAACCAGTAGTAACCAAAATCAACCCCTAAGAAGGTTAAATACCAAGTCCATGGAGAGTCCCAAGGCAAATTGAAGAGCCTGTAGTTCTCCCAGATATAAATGTAGCTGGTTAGTTCAATGCTCCTGAAAAACAGACTGGAAAAGAAAATTCACAAGCAATGATTATACTACCTTTTAGAGAGAAAATGCTAAGACGTTTTAGATAACATTTGAAAGTTAATTTATTGCTATGCAAAAATAAAATTCTTTATCCCCTCTATTTTGTCTCTTACTTCTCTTTCTTTTTAAAGGTTCAACTTCCTTGGTATCAAAATGATTCACGTTTCCTTTTGTTTCATAGGCGTCATAGATGCCAGCTGTTTGTACTCTGAATTTCATAAACTGGAAAGGGTCGTTTTATTTTAATGTCTCTTAAAATACTTTTCATGGAACTCATACAACATCAGCTTGTCAAAATTGCAACTTATTTTCTGTGATTGTCATTCTAAATCTTAATAAAGGAAGTTTAAAAGGTAAAAAATATAAAGGAAGTTTAAAAGGCAAAAAATTACAAATGGCATATTTTTTAAGGGAACTGCAAATTGTCTACTGCCTTCGAATATGTTGATCCCATAAAATTTACCTTTAAAGTTGATTCTGTCTAATTCTATTTTCTCTCTTCTTCTCTCCTCTCTCCTTTCTTTTTATCCTCTTTTTCATGCATATGCACACACACACACATATCTCTAATTTAATTTTGTTGGCTGTTATACTATGATCATATGTTGAATTCTAGTATCATTTCAGTATTTCTTATAAGAAATATAAACTAGAGTTTTCAAGATTTGAGGGAAAATTATTTCCCTAGAAATAAGGTATACAAATCTGTTCAATGGGAGGCTGAGGTGAGTGGATTGCCTGAGTCCGCGGTTTTGAGACCTGCCTGGGCAAGTTGGCGAGACCTCATCTCTACAATAAATCAAAAACTAGCTGGGTGTGGTAGCGCGCGCCTGTAGTTCCAGTTACTCGGAAGACTGAGGTAGAAGGATCGCCGGAGCCCAGCAGGTCGGGGCTGCAGTGGCTGCTCCCAGACTGGGTGACTCCAGTCTGGGTGTCACTCCAGTCTGGGTGACAGAGTGAGACTCCAACTCAAAAAAAAAAAAAAAATCTAGTTCAAATAAACAATTATTTTTATTTTATTTTTTTATTTTTAGTTATATAATATTTTTTATTTTAAAATTGTGGGGTACAGTTAAGGGTTAGGTATACAAATATGCATTGTGCAGGTACCCTTGTTCATGAGGTGTGCCCCCCTTCCCCAGACAGATATTGACTACCATTAATCCCACCTCCCTCCTCCTCCCTCCTCCTCCCTTCTCCCCGCCCCCGTAGTTTCCCACCACAGTCAATCCCTTTCTTATAGTATTACAGTAGTTGTTCAAGTTTCACTTATAACAATTATTTTTAAAACCTAGATACTAGAATATGTCTTACCACCTACTCTATCAATCTTCTGTAAATTCTTATTTTAATAACTTCCAAAACCACACATAATAAGCTTCAACTTTATAAAGTGCAGTATTTTTTCTTTTAGGTTTTCTATGGCCAAATTTAAGATTAGATTCAAGATAATCATTAGTTTTATCACTATTATAAATTTGTTTATAGTTGACTTTTTTATGTTATTAAAATGTAAAATGAATTGATCATTCTACCTAATAAAGATTTATGTATAAGCCACCAATAAGTTTGGTGCTTAAAAGTCTTAGGAAATTCTTAAATATTCTAATTTTAGATAAAAGTTTAAAAAGCAGCTCAGATTATTATATTATTAAAATTCATCATTTAAATAGTATTTTCCTTTGCATAGTTTCTATAAATTAGTATGTTACTTGGTCTTTTAGAGATCCAGACTTTTAACTTTATTCTTGAATTTAATTATCATATAACTTTAATTAATTTAACTTTAAAATAACAACTTTATTTTAAATATTTTAAATATTCCAAGTTGAGTTAATCTGTAAAATAAAACACTAGGCTATTTCACAGTAGCATTAATATGTACAACTCATAGAAATGCCAAATGCCTACAATTTTGAGCAGGACTACACATCATCACATCTTAAAACTCAATTTCCAGGCTAGGAGCAGTGTCTCACTCCCATAACCTCAGCACTTTGGGAGATCCAGGAGAGAGGATTGCTTGGGCCCAGGAATTCAAGACCAGTCTAGCAACATAGCAAGACCTCATCTCTATTGGGCAGGCCTGACAGTGAGCGATTATAGTCCAACCTACTCAGGAGGCTGAGGCGGGATGATCAGCCGAGTCCAGAAAGTTGAGGCTGCAGTGAGGCATGAGTGTGCTACAGCACTCTAGCCTGGGTGACAGAGTGAGAATCTGACTCCAAATCAGATAAAAAAATGAAATTAACATTTTGGAAACCTCAATTTCCAATTTTAGATTACATGGCTGGAAGAAGCAATTTGTTCCCAGGGTTCAAGTCCTTGACTCAGAGTAATAGCTGGTCCTGTATCCCTAACACAATGCCAACCTGAACCCTGGATCCTCCAGAATTCCCTGCTCAGGGAACTTGAGCTGGCAGACAAGATTTGCATGGGTCTGTCTCTTGGACCAGTCCTCCTGAGGGCAGACCTATGCAGGTGTGCAAACCCCCAGACCTGACAGGATGACCATATGTGACTGGTTTAGGACATGTAAACACAGCTGGCACAAGGAGTCTTGGCTGCCCACACCCGTGTGTTAGGTCTTTGCTGGGGCATGAGAGGTCATGAGCCAGGGGCTCCAACAGTGTTTTGAAAACTCTGAGGAATCTAAAAACCAGAAATTAAAATCTGCCTTCCAAGTTTTTATCAAGGTATATTATCAAGATAGGAGATTAGAAAAAATTCAATTTTAAAGCTTGTTCATTTGGTTGGTTACTTTCATATGTTTAAACTAGGACTTTGCAACAGTGCCCCTCTTGACCTCTGGACAGGATAATTCTTTGTTGTAGAAAGCTGTCGGTACAAACATTTATTCCAACTATGAAATTTTAAAGTTGCTCACTACTGACCATGAGTAAGTGGTTACTCATATAAAATTCAAGTTTTAGGTTAAAAAATGATGACTAATACTAATTTTACATGGTTCAATCTAGTAATTTCTCTAAAAGAAAATTCTTAACCCTAACACGATTGTTATTTTGGGTCAAGTAATTCTTTGTTGTGAGGGCTTTTCCTGTACATTACAGACTGTATAGCAGCATCTCTATGTTATATCTACTTGACTCAGTAGCACTCTTTCCCATCCCAGTTATGACAACCAAAAATGTCCCCAGACATCTTAAAGCTTGTTTGCTTGATTGGTTGCTTTTAAAAATGTGTTTCCTAAGAAGCAAAAATTTCCCTCAGCTGATAACCACTGCCTCACAATAACTGATTCAGAAAAAAAAAAAACACAAAATGTTACAGAAAGGTAAAATAAAACATAGACACAAGTTTTATCACATGGTAGAGCCAGTCGTAGATTAATTCATCACATTCATACAAAGAGCCTACTAAGTGCCAACCAAAGTTCAAGGTATAAGGACACATTGTCGAACAGGAGAAACATCATCACCTGCCTCACAAATATTCCATCAGTTTTATATCTTTTTCAAAACTTTCCTATCCTCCTTGTCAGTCCCAGTGACAATTGAAATAGGCATTAAGATACGAAGACCTCAAAAAAGAAAGAGAGGCCCTGAAAAACTTCTATTTGCAAAACAAAAAGTACCTGCCTGCAATTGAAATACTTTTTTATTTCCTGTACAGGTGCCAGGTCTTGAGCAGACACCCAATTTATTATTCCGTCAACTGACTTATTAGGGTTGACACAAATCGAGCTGAAATATGCCTGACACACTACAGTCAGGTTTTTTTCCCTCCTCTCACACTTCAGCCTGAAACCAAACTTTCCTCAAGGCGAAGGGAAAGAGAGAAGACGCTGTGGGAGTTATATTCCCTGCTTTCTATCAGCAAGATGAAAATGATCCTCTTGTATTATACATGTGAAAGAATAGCATGGAGTGCCCACAACTAAAAACAATTCACCTCCGTGATACAGCTGGGAAATGATTATCAAGCTCTGGAAAGCCCTTGATTGCAGGAAATAGCACCTACATTTTCGAAAATGTTCCCACCAGACATTGAATCATAAACCAAGGCTCCTTCCTTTTTCTCTTCCCAATTCTACCCCCACCTTTCACCCTGCAATCCCAGCATATGACTCTGCACTCTGGAATTCAGACTGGAACTCTCTAAACCCCATCCTGTGGGAAGAGACAAATATAATACGTATGGATATAGTGAGCTTACTTCATCACGCAGAGACGGTATATTGGGTAGCACAGGGGCTTGGAGTTACCAAATACCAGATCCCTTCTACACATTAAGTTTGACGGTGAGACCAAGAAAATGATCTAAATGTAAAGAGACAAAAGAATCCTCTCATCAGCAACCAGCATACAAAGAGCCTTTCCTCCCATTGTCCTGTTTTCTTCATGAATTCCCCCAAATAGCAGTATTCTCTTGGGTCGGTCTAAAGTAAATCTTTTGGCAAATGAAAAGTAGCATATTTCTCTAACGAGTAAAATGATTATTTATGTGTTTTATATAACATTTTCTCTCATCACTGGGAATTTGTCCTGTCAATGTTTAGTTACAATGAAAAACTGGTAGGTAGGGTACTAAATTGCTATTCAGTAGTAATTCTAGGTTTTTAAATAAAAAATAAAATTCAGTTATAATGTTGACAATAAAAAATAATCAACAAATTAGAAGTAATTATTTTAGGTCTGAGAATTACAAGTTAATTCATGTTTGAAGTCATCTTGAATTGAATCTACCCATCACCAAGAGTAGAAGTGTAACAGTAAACAGGACATTCAGCTTTTCAGTATCTCAGGGCTAATTAAAGATAGGAGAGCATTAGGCCAAATGGACTCTAGAATTTCTTTCATGCTCTTATCTTTAATAAAACAATTGAAGTTTGACGCAATGTGCTCATTGAAAACTGCTAAAATTTCAAGCAAATTCCAGAGTAAGTACACTTCTGCCCATACTCACAGGAATAAGTTGCCAATGTATACTATTTCATAACTATCATTATAGCTGTC